AAACTGTGAACCATGATGATGGGCTTATATAAATGTACTATATAAGGGGCCCAGTGCATGAATTCGTGCACCTTAAAAGGAATTGTGGGTCAAGAGGCTGCAGAGGGTATAGGGGTGGGTCTTGACCCATCCTCGTACCCTGCCCAGCCCTTCCTGTTGTGGCCCCCAGTCCCCTGTCTGCCAGCAGCCCCTTTCCCGCCATCACTGCTCCAACATGCTGATGGCACTGGCTCCACTTGCACCTGCTGACAGTGCGGAGCCATTGGGGCTAGAGCCAGCAGCGGGTGCGAGTAGGACTGGCGGCATCAGTGGATGCAAATGTCAGCTGCTGCCGAAATTGACCAGCAGGAGCAAGGGGAGGTGGAGAAATCCTCAGGGGCAGTTGGGACTGGCACTGGGTGCCAGTAGCGTGTGTGAGCCGTGGCTCCAGGGCCAGCTGTGGGTGCGAGCAGTGGCTTTCTTTCAGGAGTTGGGAGCCCCACCCCACTCTCTGGTTTCAAACAATGAGCCTGGCTATGATTCTACATGTTGAGCAGGACAAGTATTTCTTACTATTCCCAGGAGCCAAGCTCTTTTTCACCTTAGACTGCAACATCCATATCCATAGCATTATATTTCTGTTTAGTTTATGATTTTCAGAGATGTGGCTTTTTCTTCTTAATTTTTAAAAAATTTATTGATTTGTAAGAGAGAAGGGTAAGGTGGTTAAGAGGTCCTTCTTTTTTTTTCTTTATCCTTTTTTGTAGCTGAATAATATTCCATTGTGTAAATGTACCATAGCTTTTTTTTTTTTATCCATTTATCTTCTGATGGGCCTTTGAGTTGTTTCCAGATTTTAACTATCTATTTTCACTGAGTGACCAGATTAACATGATCTCTGAACACATAATAATCTAGCCACTCAGTGTGTGTGTGTGTGTGTGTGTGTGTGTGTGTGTGTGTGTATGTGTATGTGTGTGCGCACCTGGTGGATGAATTTGTGCATGGGTGGGGTCTGGCCAACCTGGCCAGAGGGAGGGGACATGGGCAGTTGGCCGGCCTGTCTGCTGGTCCAACTCCGGGTCAAGGAGACAAAAAAAGTCTATGAGTGAACTAAGAAGGAACAGGACAAATGCTTGTCTTCATGGAGCTCACACTGTAAGAAGGTTATGTCAGGGATGAGAATTCAAAATTTCCACCAGCACAGACCTGAGGTGCCGCTTCTCAGAGCGGCCAGAGATATACCCAGTATTGGGCTGTGGGTGGTGCCACCATGAAGGTAGGGCCGTTCTGGATTTCTCAGAGGAGCCAGTGGCTGCTTAGGAAGTGGAGCTTTTGACACTGACTGGCATAGAAACCAATCAGTCAGAACCAAATCTGGGTGAACTGCAAGGAGCCAATGGCTGTCTAGGAGTTGGAGATTTTGATGTTGACTGGCATGGAAACTGAACCTAATCTGGGTGAACTGTGAAGGCAGAACCTAAGGTGGGGGCTGAGGAGAGGTTATAAGAGCAACAGCTGTTTGGTGTAAGGTGTGAGAAAGCTGTTCAATTTTTAAAAAAATATTTATTTTAAAGAGTGCTTTTTTATTTAATTTATTTATATTTTATTGATTTTTTTTTTTTACAGAGAGGAGGAGAGAGAGAGAGCTAGAAACGTTGATGAGAGAGAATCATCGACCAGCTGCCTCTTGCACAACCCCTACCGGGGATGTGCCCGCAACCAATGTACATGCCCTTGACGGAAATCGAACCTGGGACCCTTCAGTCTGCAGACCGACGCTCTACCACTGAGCCAAGTACATGCCTTTGACCGAAATCGAACCTGGCACCCTTCAGTCTGCAGACCGACGCTCTACCACTGAGCCAAACCGATTTAGGCTATATTGATTTTTTTTATAGAGAGGGATAGAGAGTTAGAAACATTGATGAGAGAGAAACATCGACCTGCTGCCTCTTGCACATCACCTACTGGGGATGTGCTAGCAACCAGGGTACATGCTCTTGACCAGAATCAAACTGGATCCTTGCAGCCCACAGGCCGACACTCTATCCATTGAGACAAACTGGTTTCGGCAAGCTGTTCAATTTTAATGACTGTTTTGGCAGTATAATGCATATGGCTGGCTATCAATCCAGATATAGGGATTATGTACTTTTGCTGCCAAAACCATCTCCTCCTGTTGAAAAAGGCCTTTCCACACCCCATTTAAGCAATTCTATATAATTTATCTAAACTAATAAAAGGGTAATATGCTAATTAGACTAGGTAGACTGGCCTTTTTCCGATGTCTTACTTTTTTCTGAACAAAGCCATGGTGGTGGGGGCTGAGGCATAGGCAGTTAGAGGTGATTAGGTTAGCAGGGGTGAGTAGTTAGTGGCAAGATCAGGCCAGCAGGGAGTTAGGGGTGACCAGGCTGGCAGGGGAGTGCAGTTGAGGGTGACAGCCTGGCATGGGACGACCAGGCTGGCAGGGGAGGGCAGTTGGGGACATTAGGCAGGCAGGCAGGTAAGTGGTCAGGAGCCAGTGGTCCTAAATCAGCAGTCAGACATCCACTGAGGGATCCCAGATTGGAGAGGGTGCAGGCTGGGCTGAGGGACACCCCCCCTCCCCCATGCACGAATTTCATGCACCAGGCCTCTAGTCCTATATAATAAAAGCCCAATATACTAAGTGTCCTGTCATCCATTCATCTGTTCAATCAAAGTGTAATATGCTAATGATATGCTAAGACCATTCAACCGCTTGCTATGATATGTACCGATCACCATGGGGCAGTTGACCAGTCGCTATGATGTACACTGACCACCAGGGGGCAGACGCTCTGACCAATAAGTTAGCTTGCTGCTGGGGTCCTGCTGATTGGGACTGAACAAGATATGCTGGACATGCCCTGGAGCCCTCCTGCACTCCTTCCCAAGCTGGCCAACCTCCTGTGTCCTTCCCTGGCTCCGATTGTGCACCAGTATGATTCCTCTGCCTGGCCTGCATTCTGTTGCAATCCGGGACCCCTTGGGGGATGTCAGAGAACCAGTTTTGGCCCTCTCCTGAAGGCCAGGGACCTCTAGTTGTAAATAATTCTTATATGAACATAGGGATTATTCTTTTTGATTGGTCTTTCAGGATTCTTAGGATATATTCCCAAAAGTGGGATTGCTGGGTCAAATGGCAATTCCATTTTTAATTTTTTGAGGAAAGTTCATATTGTTTTCCATAGTGACTGTACCAGCTTGCATTCCCAATAGTGAACTAGGGTTCCCTTTTCTCCAAATCATCACCAGCTCTTGTCAATCAGTTGATTTGTTGATAATAGCCTTTCTGGTATGAGATGATAGCTCATTGTTGTTGGTATTGTTGTTTTCTTTAAAAAGAGATGTTATTTTTTTTTAAATATATCTTTATTGATTTCAGAGCAGAAGGGAGAGGTAGAGGGAGATAGAAACATCGATGATGAGAGATAATCATTGATTGGCTGCCTCCTGCATGCCCCTTACTAGGGATCGAGCTCACAACTCTGGCATGTGCCCTTGACTGGAATTGAATCTGGGTCCCTTCAGTTGTAGGCAGACACTCTATCCATTGTGTGGCTAGGGAAACCACATTGTTGTTTTAATTTTCATTTCTCTGATGACTAATGACATTAAGCATATTTTTTTTAAAAAATGTTTTTTTGGCTATTTGTATATCTACTTTGGAGCAGTGTCTATTCAAGTCCTGTGCCCAGTTTTTGAATTACATTGTTTTCATAGTGTTGAGCTGTATGAGTTCTTGTATATTTTGAAAACTAACCCCTTATCAGATATATCATTGGCAAATATGTTCTCTAATACAGTCGGTTCTCTTTACATTGTGCTGGTGGTTTCCTTTGCTGTGCAGAGCTTTTTAGTTTGGTATAGTTCCAATTGTTTATTTTTCCATGTGTTTCTCTTGATCTAGAATGTATGATCTTTTTAAGGTATAGATTTGTTAATATTTTGTGGAGGATTTTAGCATCTTTGGTCATCAGAGATATTGGTTTGTAATATTCTTTCTTGATAGTGTCTTTATCTGGCTTTGCAAGAGCTTGGAAGTCTTCCTTGCTCTTGAATTTTTTGGATTAGTTTGAGGATAGGTGTTAGTTCTTTGAATGTTTGGTAAAACTCACCTGCTGTGGTATGTATTGGGGTGATGACCAAGCTCAGTCATACTGATCTGCTCTTCAATCTCTCCCCCATGACACTTTAGACTCTTCTCAGGTGATTTCAGGTTATCCCTCTTTCCCTCCACAGAAGCCTTGGTAAGAGCCTGCAAGCGAAAACCCTGTGCTTTGTTTTTTTGTTTAAAGATACAAAACAAAACAAACAAACAGCGCTGATTCTCCCTGGTAGATAGAAACTCCATTGTCTTTCACAGCTGTATGTTATATGGGCTGCTGTTCTTGGCTCTGGTGCTATGGGCTGCGGCTTGCCTGTTGTGGGAGCTGGCCCTGCCCTTCTCGGGACCAAATTCCTCCTACCTATCTCGAGGTGGTCTGTGCCCTTCCTTGTTGAAAGTCTCCTCTTCAGCTAATCTTCAGTTGGTAATTCAAGGTGAATGGTCCCCACTTTAGTTTTATTTCCAGTTTGGTTCTGGAAGGAGGTGCAAGAAAGATCCACCTATTTTGCTGCCATCTTTGAAATGTCCAATATTTTATTCTTAATATAATTTCCTATATAAAATGTTTGTTAAGATATATTTGTATATTATTTTAAATTTGTAATACAATGGGTAATGTTACACGTGTTTTAAATATTCTTATGTAACTAAATCTGGAATTAAATTATTTAATATGAAGTTGTTTTAGTTGTGAGCAGTTCTAAGTTTTGACACTTGCCATATGGTTTCTGACTGGGCTGTCAACCCCAGATAACTTAATTTTCTATATTTCAAAGTGACACTTATTATCAGGATGTGAAATTCTAAAGGATTAGTTACCAATTATGACTAATAAACTCTCAATGTGTGTGTGTGTATTTTTAAATTTATTTATTATTATTTCTAGAGAAAAACAGAAAACTGAAGCTAAAGACAGAAAAGTTTTAGAAATTCTACAAGTCAAGGATGCTAAAATACAAGAATTGGAACAGGTTGGTGTTACAATAGGAAATACTATAACCACTATAATTGTTTTAGTAGATGTTTGCATTATTTTAAATTATTTTTTGCCATAATGTGCATTAAGAAAATAAGGGTCATTATGTTAAACTATTACTATTTTGAAACTATTATAGTTGGATTATTCTTTATAGTTATATTTTGCTTATAGCCTCTTATTTTCTGAATCACTAGGCTGTGTTATTTATATATTAAACTCTTAAGATTGTATTATAGTTTTATAGTAGTATCTAGCAGTTATTGTTTTACTGAATTTTGTCTTTTATTTATAGCAGTTATCATTCACTTCTGTTTTTTCTTTAAGATGTAGATATTTAATGTTATAGTTAGAGGGAAGAGTTTAAACAGTGAGAATTCTGAGAACAAGGTATTTGCTGATATTCTTAATTGGTGAGAGGAAGAGAAAATTTCATAAAAAAAGATGATATGACAGGGAAGAAGAGAGAGAGGGAAGTATATATAATTTAATATCTTATGAATTAAAAAAAAGGAGTTTTAAGAAACAAAATGTTATTGTAAAATGCTGCAAAAGTGGGGTTTGTGAAGAAGATTAAATTTAGCAATAGTGATGTGTTTAGTGGTTTTATAAAGCAATACAAGGAGAATTGGTGTATGACATTTTAAGAGCTCACTTAATTCTAACAAATGGAAAAGAATGAGGGATTGTATAGTAAAGAGAAAGAAGATTCTGCACTTAAAATATTTGGCAAAATATTTGAAAGTAATGGAGAAAAAATTACACAATGCAAAAGGATTTGATTGAGTTAGCAGACCTATATAAAGGTGGAGACCATGAGACTAAGAAGATAAGATTCAGTACATTCATTCTAATTTTTCATCTTTTTTATTTTATATTTTTTAACTTTATTTTTTATTGTTTAAAGTATTACATATAATAAATAGTACATATATCTCCCTTTTCCCCCCATTGACCTTCCTCCACCTTCCCTACCCCCTATCTTATGTCGGTTGGTTGTGCTTATATGCATGCATACAGGTCCTTTGGTTGATCTTTTTTCCTCCATTCCCAGCCTTCCCACTATAATTTGACAACTTTATTGCCTCTGTATCTATCTTTTTGTTCATCAGGTTATAATGTTCTTTATTTTCCATAAATGAATGAGATCATGTGGTATTTTTCTTTCATTGTATTTGACTTAACATAACGCTCTCCAGGTCCATCCATGCTGCTGCAGATGGTAAGAGTTCCTTCTTTTTTATATTGTAGAAGCGTAGTATTCTATTGTGTAGATGTACCATAGTTTTCTTATCCACTCATCTGCTGATGGGCATTTAGGCTATTTCCAAATTTTAGCTATGGCAAATTGTGCTACTACGAACATAGGGGTGCATATATCCTTTCTGATTGGTGTTTCTAGTTTCTTGGGATATATTCCTGGAAATGGGGTTACTGGGTCAAATGGGAATTCCATTTTTAGTTTTTTGAGGAGACTCCATACTGTTCTCCACAATGGTTGCACCAGTCTGTATTCCCACCAGCAGTGGACAAGGGTTCCTTTTTCTCAGCATCCTCACCAGCACTTGTTGTTTGTTGATTTGTTGATGATTGCCATTCTGACAGGTGTGAGATGGTACTGAATTGCCGTTTTGATTTGCATCTCTCTGATAATTAGTGACTTTAAGCATGTTTTTATATGTCTCTTGGCCTTCCTTCTGTCTTCTTTCAAAAATATCCTATTTAGGTCTATTGCCCATTTTTTTAATTCGATTATTTATTTTCCTTTTATTAAATTGTATAAGTTCCTTGTAGATGTTGGAGATTAAACCTTTATCAATGATAACATTTGCAAATATGTTCTCCCATACAGTGAGCTTTCTTGTTGTTGTTGTTGTTTTTTTTTTTTTTTTTTTTTTTTTTTTTTAGGTTTCTTTTGCTGTAAAAAAGCCTTTTATTTTGATGGAAACCCATTTGTTTATTTTCTCTTTAGCTTCCATTGCCCTAGGGGTGGTATCAGTGAAGAAATTGCTTCGGCATTATGTCTGAGATTTTGCTGCCTGTGGATTCCTCCAGTATTTTATGGTTTCCCATCTTATGTTTAAGTCCAGTATCCATTTTGAGTTTATTTTTGTGTATGGTGATCTAGTTTAATTTTTTTGCATGTATCTGTCCAATTTTCCCAACACCATTTATTGAAGAGACTGTCTTGACTCCCATTTTATGTTCATGCCTCCTTTGTCAAATATCAATTGAGCATAGTGGTTTGGGTTGATTTCTGGGTTCTCTATTCTATTCCGTTGGTATGTATGTCTGTTCTTGTGCCAGTACCAGATAGACGAGAACAGTGGCTTTGTAATACTGCTTCATATCTGGAGTTGAGATCCCACCTACTTTGTTTGGTTGATTTGCTTATTAGGCTTTTATTATATAGGATGGCTACTTTTCACTTCTCCCTGTAGAAAGTAGAAAGGTATTTTTCTCCAATCTTCCCTGTTACAACTAGGCTCAAGTATATAAAACTCATGAAAGATTGGAGCTCCCCTAGTACTGGCCCTCCTGGACTTTTTAACTTGGAAACATATGTACACAGATCCTCCAACAATTCATTAATTATAGGTTAGGTTTTTCCTACTCTGGTACTGGTTCCCATGAAGTTTTATTCTCCTAGATTTCTGCTCTGGTAACTTGTGGTTCTCTGTATCTGTCTGTTTACCCAGTTTTGGGAATAATAGTTTGCCCTATGACTTCAGTTACCTGATGGATCTAAAAAGAGTTGTTGATTTTCAGTTCGGCTTTTTCATGTGTTCAATAGGAGAGACAATTTCCAAGATCCTTACATGCTGGGTTAGAAACCAGGAAGTCCTTCATTGTCTTTTGTTGTTTTACTGAATAATATTAACTTGCTATTAATTTTCAAAACTTGTAGCTCATGGAATAGAATAAAAGTTAAAAATGACAACTCCTTTAGCTTATGCAACTCTCAAATTATTAGAAAGTTCACCCCAATCAATTTAATAACTTAAAAAATTAAATATATACTAGCCAATAAAATATAAATGGATAAATACATAAATTATTATAAAGTTACACAGAACACACACACTATGTTTTTAGCTGGTTGTGCAAAAACTTTTATAGAAGTGGAGTCTAGCTGAAACCGGTTTGGCTCGGTGGATAGAGCATCAACCTGCGGACTGAAGGATCCCGGGTTCAATTCCAGTCAAGGGCATGTACCTTGGTGGCGAGCACATCCCCAGTAGAGGGTGTGCAACAGGCAGCTGATCGATGATTCTGTCTCATCAATGTTTCTAACTCTCTATCCCTTTCTCTTTCTCTCTATAAAAAAATCAACAAAATGTATTTAAAAAAAGAAAAAAAAAGAAGTGCAGTCTAATATAACAGTTAATTGGTAGTAGTGTAAAAATTGTCATATAACTTATTTTGGTAAGACTATGCTTTAGCCTTTTCACTGTCAGTTATAAAATAATAACTGACATATAATTAAACCCCTCTTCTAATATTGTATTAAATAATATGACTCTGCTAATAACCTATATATTGCATTTAATTAGATGATAATTGCTCGTTAACATTATATGTTCCTATTTTCTTATCTTCTTGGAAGCTCAAAAGTAAGTTTAGGTTCTCAATTATAATTAGTTTTCGTACCCCTTCCTCTTTTTCCACTCACCATTTTTTTTACTTGTGATTTCATTACTTATCTTTTTTTAAATTAAAACTTTCATGTCCACTTAAAAGTAGGTTATATAAATAATATATTAACTTTGCTCAAGTATTGCCTGATAGAGTATTAAGTTTTATACTGCTGCTCCACCTCTTTTCCTGCTTCATACTCACTATCATTTCTCCTTACCCTATAGACTTCTCTTGACCATGATGTGAATTATTAATTTCATGACTTATTCATAATAAATTATTTGTTCCAGACATACTTTCTCTTGTCACCCTTTTTACTTTATGGTTCCTCTAAGTTCTGTTTACTATTTTAATATTAACCCAAGCCAGACCATTAAGAATGTTCTCTATCTAGAAAAGTTAATTGAAAAGTTTCATAAAACTAAATTATAAAATGAACTGTAATTGTATATACCTATGCATTCATAATTTAAAGTAGAGCTTGTTCAGTCATTTGGTCATCCCTCACTAACCTCCTGCCTGCTTGGTTGCCCCACACAGCCTGCTTGTTCAGTTGTTTGGTCTTTCCTCACTAACCCCCTGCTGGCCTGGTCATGGGCAGCAATCTTGTGAGGGTTAATTTGCATATTACCTCTTTGTTATATAGGATAATATCAAATTTATCAAACTAACTAACAGAATTTGATAGTTTTGGTTAACTACATTTCCCACTGTATTATGCTTTTTTATTCAAAAGGTAACATGATTGAATTTATAGTTCAGTTTTAATCTTATTCATAAACATTTAATAATTTGATTTGGGAAACTGAATACATAGAGGAAAAATTAGCAAGACTAGATAATATGTTAAGTATCACATGAATAATGTAAAGCAATACAGAAATTTAGAAATGGCTAACTTTCTGTGATAGTTGGGAAAGACTTATGGAGGAGATGGAAATTAATTTAGATGATAGAGGATAAGATTTAGATGAGAATAGAAATATGGGTTATGAATTGTGTATAGGCTATATTAATGGATCTCTTTTTATACTGCTTGACTGATGTTAGGCTCATTTTAATAAATAGGAAATAGAAATGAAAACCATGTTGAGGTGTCATATCTATTGGATTTATAAAAATTAACAAACTGAGTCAAGTGTTGTTGCAAATGTGGAGCTGTTGAGAACTCTTGAATTGCATCTAGCTTATGACCTAGCACTTTCACCTCTGAACATATATAATCTAGAGCAGAGTTTCCCAAAGTGAGGTACACGTACCCCCAGGGGTATGGGAAGAGTTTGGTGGGGTTACGGGTTGCATCGGAGTTTGGTGGGGATATGCACTGCACTGTGCTCAGCTGTGCCTAATACATTCATTTTTTTTTTTTTTGACAAGGGGTACTCAGCATTAAGAAAATTATAGAAGGGGTACACATATGTCAAAAGTTTGGGAAACACTGATCTAGAACAATGCTTTTCAACCTTTTATTAATATGACCCCCATACAGAAAAAAAATTTCTTAATTCATGAATCAGTATGCACACATAAAATAATGTTTTATATAATAATAGTTATCTTTCTATGCCTATTCAAAGTAAAAATATAGCAAAGTTGATATTAAATATTACTTTTATAATATTTTCACAAAATAGAAATTTTAAATTATATACTGGAAAAAAATAGGTATTTCATTTACTATAGCGTGTCTGCTTCTTTCATAAGTATATTCTTTTGGGCATAGTTTATTTTTTGGTAAGAATTTGAGCAAATCTCTTGTATTCTATTCCACTTACAAATGCTGATTATGATGACTAAATTGATTTAATGAACCATTACTAGATTACAATCTGTAATGTAAATTGAGCAAAAATAGCATGCCACAGAATATGTGTGGTATGACTTAATTTATATAAAGTTTTAAAATAAGCTAAACTGTACAATACATTAAATAGGGATACATAAGGTGTTCCTAAGAAATGTATTAACACATATTGCATAATTTATAAAGGCAGTGATTACTAAAATACATTTCATTTTCAAAATTGAGCTATCAGCTGTTAAACTATATATACATTTTTTGGGGGATACCGTGTATATGTCTTCAAACTATATGGAAAAGCAAGAGAAGAGTGAGAACCAAAGTTTTAGAACAATGCTTACCCCCGTAAGAGGATCAGGGAACATGAGCCTTCAAATATAATGATAAAATTGTGTTTTTTAATTGGTTGTAGGGTACAGGGATGCTCTTTTTATTGTTTCTTAATACCTTACACACTTACCATAGATTATTTTTCTGTGTACAGTTATGGATCACATAATAACCTTTAGGTCAGTGGAGCCCATATACACTGAGTAGCCAGATTATTTTGCGTTCAGAGATCATAATAATCTGGCTACTCAGTGTATAATATATACTACAGTGGTCCCATATGATTGTAATGGAGCTAAAAAATTCCTATTGCCTAGAAATTTTACCATAGTCATCATAATGTGGTAGCACAGCACATTGTGTGTTTCTGGTCATGCTCAGGTTAACAAACCTACTGCACTGAGATTCATATAAGGGTATAGCAAATACAATTACAGTTGTAGGCCATACCAGCTAAGTTTGTGTAAGTGCATTCTATGATATTCATGCAAAAATAAAATCACCTAATGGTGCATTTTTCAGAACATATTTCTATTGTTGTCTTTAACTGTATTTAGTGCTTAAAATACTTTAAGTAGAAGTAAAATAAAATCAAGTAACATTATCCTATTTAATAAAGAGGGAATATGCTAATTGACCATATTATGGTCTTATTGAAGATGGCTGCACCCACAGCTGAGGCCAAGTTCCCATAAGGAGCCTTAACGAACAATCAGCAGGGACCTGAGGCTATGCTCTCCCCTCCACTTGACAGGGGACCTCAGGCCACCCCCCCCCCCCCACCAGGCAGGGCTTGACAAGGGACCTCAGATTGTATGTGTGTGGCTTCCCCTCCCCCCAGCATGGCTTGATCAGGGACCTCAGGCTGCACCCCCTGCCCCAGTGTCAGGCCAGGGGACCTGAGGCCATGCCCCACCTCGCCCTGTGGGGCTTGACAGGGGCCTCAAGGTGCACTTCCTGTCCTGGTGCTTCCCTAGAGGCCCTCAGGCTGCTCCCCTTGTCCCAGTGCCAGGCCAGGGGACCTCAGGCTGTGCCCCTCACCAGGTGGGGCTTGACAGGGGACTTCAGGCCACGCCACCCCCAACCCTAGCAACAGGCTGGGGCACCTCAGACCATACCCCCTGCCCAGCAGGGTTGACAGAAGACCTCAGGCTGTGCCCTCTGGTGCTGGGTTGGGGGATCTGAGGCTGTGCCCCCTGCCCTGCGGGGCTTGACAGGGTGGGACTGGCCAGGTCTGAAACTAGCCCAATAGGGGGCGGCCAGGTCTGGGTCTTATGTGATTTTGAGGTGCAGGTGGGTGGGTGGGAACTTGACTCTGGGTCCAGCGGTGTGCCCTAGACTCTGATAGGAGGAAGGTTTTCATATACTTTTTACTAATTTTCTCTCATCTCTGACACTTCTATTATAGAGAAAGGGCAAATAGCAATATTAAATGATTTCCTCTAGTTAATCTCCTTTTAATGTGCACGAACTTCATGCACCGGGTCACTAGCAGTGTTAAGAAATTAGAATATAGGAGATACTCTCGTTTTATTTTGTAGATTTACCATATTTTTTATCCTACCCCTAAATCATACTTTAAGTTCATTCTCTAGTCCTTTAGAGAGTGTTTATTATAAGTAAATATGGAAGTACAAAATAAATTGAGAATTAGGGATCATATGACCATCAGTGATAGATCAGTGATGGAATTAAGGTTAGATATTTCTACTGAATATAGTAATTAATAAGAAAACAATGTGCTGATATCTTGGTTGACAGGCAGATGGGGCTTAAAGGAAGGATGGTGTAAAGAGTGACTTGGAAGCTTTAAAAAAATGGGTATAGCCAGATAATAGGGTTTAATAACTATTAGTGGAAAAAATGGATGGATTGACAAAAGTTGAAGAAGTTTAAGAAAGAGATAGTATCAGAATATGGATTTCAGTTTTATCATATTAGTTTTAGGTGACAGCAGATAATCCAAGTGGAGGTATTGTATAGAAAGTTGAAAATGTGGGTTGGTGATTGGGATAGAGTCAAGGCTGGATTATAAATTATGTAGTCCTTTCCAACATCAATGAGACCATAAACTACAAGGGTGGTTACATTTTCTGAGACAAAAACTAAAAAGAAAAAAGTGGGAAACTAAGAATTGAGTCATGAATACACCCTATAATTCACTATCATTTTGATATCTCTGGCAGGTAAGAAGAATATTCAATTAAAATTGTGAATGTTTAAATATTCTGAATATTGTTTCTATGGAGCAGGATATTTTTGGTACCAAATCAAACATGCCATTTTTATTCTTTTAAATTACTTACCCCTTCAAAAAAAACTGTAATTATTTCATTTTAAAACATTTTCTTTCAAATGATACTCAAAAGTATAATATTTATTTTAGTTAATATGTATTTTCCTTAGATTATTTTATGAAATTTTGTTTTTCTCTTCTTACACACTTAAGTCCCAAAAGTTTGCTTTCTGATTGTAGCTTAATATTCAGTATCTAGTTTTTATGTGGTCTATGTTTTTTTTTATATATATATTTTATTGATTTTTCACAGAGAGGAAGAGAGAGGGATAGAGAGTTAGAAACATCGATGAGAGAGAATCATCGATCAGCTGCCTCTTGCACACCCCCTACTGGGGATGCACCCGCAACCAAGGTATATGCCCTTGACCGGAATCGAACCCGGGACCTTTAAGTCCCTAGGCTGACGCTCTATCCACTGAGCCAAACCAGTCCCGGCTATGGTCTATGTTTTAAACTAATAAATAGGTACTGTACTTGCACAGTTTACTTGAAAAGCTTTTGGCAGCCCTAACCGGTTTGGTTTGGCTCAGTGGATAGAGCGTTGGCCTGCAGACTGAAAGGTCTCCGGTTCGATTGTGGTTAAGGTCATGTACCTTGGTTGGGGGCACATCCTCAATAGGAGGTGTGCAGGAGCAGCTGATCTATGTTTCTCTCTCATCGATGTTTCTAACTCTCTATTCCTCTCTGTAAAAAAAATCAATAAAATATATTTGAAAAAAAAAATAAAAGCAGCTGAATCTTTCATCAGACAAAATTAAAAAAACAAACACCTGTGGGCATATCACAGAAGGAAATGAGCATTGTTATTATGAAAGCTAGTTAATCCTTACATTTTAATTAAGATCTAAATCATTTTAGATGACATAAATTTTTCTTAGAAATAACCAGCTTACTAATAACTGCTTTTATTTTTTTTCAAAGAGAGAATCAGGACTGAAACAGGACATAAATGACCTTATAAAGCGGAAGATTGCAGTAGATGAAGAAAATGCTCTCTTAAGGAAAGAATTCAGTGACTTGCAGAAGAAATTTAAAGATAAAAGACAAGAAGTTAAGGTGTGTTGACTTGTACATAGTTTTATAGTACTATTACTTTAAAGTCCTATTTTAAGCTTTATCAGCTTTTGTGGCACAGAAAGTGACAACCTTGGAAGAAAAATTGCCTGAGGCTCTGATGTACCACAGTTTTCTCACATTCAGAAACTCTAAGAAAGATGCTTTAAAGCTAAGACTCCAAGCTTGATAACTTTCAGATAAATAGTTAATGATGGGACTGGAGCTAAGAAAGTAGGAGTGTGAATATGTGGCTTCTTGTAATTAGATTCTGATAGGACTGGCATTATTAATTGATAAAACCCTGGGAGTATATGTCTGCGTGAGTCTCAAAAATAGCTGGGGACAGCATCAAAGGCAGCTTGATCAATTAATGGTCTCTTTGCAAATGTGTACTCATCAAAGCTGTCATCCAGTGAAAAAAATATGATCTATCCACCTGCATGAAAAGAGGCCAATAAAAGTATATAGGTGACCTTGGCTATCAAATATTGAAGACGCTGCTGTGAGGGTAAAACTGCACAACTTATATTTGCTGATTAGTGCTCACCATTTTTTGTTTGTTTGTTTGTTTATTGGCCCTGTGGCACTGTTGTGTAGGACAGTAAAGAGTGTATACAGAATAAGGAAGAGCAAAGCAGACTGATTATAAAAGACCTGGAAGAGGAAAACCAGAAATTAAGTACCCGCTGTGTTGACCTGCTAAATGACCTGGAGAGACTGAGGAAGCAGGAAGCCCATTGGAAAAAAGAAAAATATAGCATTGATGCAAAAATAAAGGTATGCAGTGAGAATGGAATTCACCCTGTGATTTTGGATCTAACTTCTCACAGGAAGTTTATTATATGTTATTTTCTTTAAATAACAAGTTATATAGTCAAATCCACCAATGGGACTAGTATTCATTTATATTCCTTCACTTAAGACCCATAGCTTTTTAAAAATTGATGTTGCAAAGCAGGAAACTGACTTCAAATATTTATTTATAATGTAATCACTAAAAAATAAATGATTTTGAAGGAAAACGTGTTTTAGAAAAATTAGTATCATGAATTTTTACTTTTCTCAGTTAGGGCTTAAATTTATAGATAAAGGCTAGAATTCATTGGATTTAAAACTTTTCAGGGTCTTTAAAAAAAGTTTAAAAAGCACAAGACAGTTAAAAAATACTCAGGAGTTTTGAAGATGGTCTTTCTTTGACTTAAGAGGGCCTATTTATAATACAATCTTATTTTATACAACATATAGGTGCAATCAATCTTTATAATATTCTTACACTATTTTGATCAGCATTTTTCAAAATAATATGTTTTTGTGGCTTTCTTGGTCATGAGAATGTTATATTGATTTTTTCCCATAAAATTTTAGGTTTTTCTTTTCTACAGATTTTATTGGAAAGACCAGGAATGTATTTTAGTGCTAGTAAATATGATAGTTTCTTTATGTATACACAGATAAAAACGAATATATAAAAACACACATATATTTATTTTTTTCAGCATTTTCCCGAACTGTCTCATTTCTAAAAATTTGTACATTTTCTGAAATTTTCTAAGTCATATAATTATATACTGCTTCTTTCCACTCTAATGTATTAACTGACATGTAATTTACATATCTTGTATTTAATCCATTTAAGTATACAGTTCAGTAGTTTTATTTTATGCATAGTTGAGCAACTATCGCCACAATTAATTTGAAATTGTTTTCATCATCCCCAAAATAAATCCTGTAACCTTAAGCAATCACTACTCATTTATCCTAAGCTCCACAAAGGATTAGTAGATAACCACTAATCTATTTTCTTTCTCTATAGATTTTTCTATTCTAAACATATAACTGAAATCATAGTATATGATCTTTTGTGACTGACTTCTGCCACTTAGAATAATGTTTTCAGGATTTATCCATGATGTAGCATATATTAGTGCTTCTTCCTTTTTTATTGTTGATTAGTATTCCATCTTAGAAATATTCTACATTTTTTTTATCACTAGTATAACTTGTGTTATATACTGCTCTGAACATTTGTATACAATATTTTGTAAATACATACATATATCTTCATTTTTTTTTTTAGGTGCATAACAAGAAATGAGATCACTGAGTCTTAGTGTAATTCTGTCCTTAAGTGTTAGAGGACATGTCAGATTGTTTTCAAAAGCAGCTGCACCAGAACAGTGATAACTATTTGTATATTGTTGGTAATTTAAGTATTCAAGAGAATTTATAAGCTTACTTTTATTTTTTTATTTTTAATTTTATTTTATTTTCATTTTTTTATTAAGGTGTTATATGTGTACATATCTTACCATTGCCTCCCCACCTCATACATGACTTTCCTCCCCAGAGGTTTTTGTCCTATAAGCTTACTTTTAAAAAAAGGTAGTATATGGACTGTTTCTTGAAATTCTTGGAGTAGAAAGTAAATAGTGGCTTTCTAGTCTCATTACTCAACCTGCATCCACTTGTCATTTATATCTTACGCATTGTTGGCAACTGGTATTAATTAAAATGTTTATCAATACAGATGTTGAAAAAAAGCAGCTGCACCATTTTACATGCTGAACAGCAGTATATGAAGGTTCTGAATTCTCTGCCCTTCTCAACATTTGTTGACTTGTCTTTTAAAATATTATTTATTTTTTATTATTTTTAATCTTCACCTGAGGTTATGCCAATTGATTTTACAGAAAAGGGAAAGGGAGGAGAGAGGGAGGGAGAGAGGTGAGAGAGAACATTGATTGTTTGCCTCCCATTTGCAGTCAGATTGAGGATTGAACTCACAACCTAGTTATGTGCTCTGATTGGAAATTGAGCTCACAACTCTTTTGTGTATGGGACGATGCTCCAACCAATTGAGCCTCACTGGCCAGGGCAACTTGTCTGTATTTTTGTTTTTTTTCATATATATATATATATATATATATATATATATATATGTGTGTGTGTGTGTGTGTGTGTGTGTGTGTGTGTGTGTGTGTGTGTGTGTATGTTAATCCTCACCTGAGGATATTTTTCCATTGATTCTTAGAGAGAGAGGTAGAGATGATAGAGAGAAACATTGGTATAAGAGAGACACTTTAATTGTTTGCCTCCTGTATGTGCCCTAACCAGGGCCAGGATTGAACCCTGCAACACAGACAATACCCTTGACTGGGAATCAAACCTCGGACCCCTAGGTTTGCTATCTGATGTTCTAACTACTTAGAACACTGGCCAGAGCAGGGCATGTAGTTTTATTTTATTTTTTAATTTTTATTTTTAAAAAAATATATTTTATTGATTTTTCACAGACAGGAAGAGAGAGGGATAGAGAGCTAGAAACATTGATGAGAGAGAATCATTGATCAGCTGCCTCTTGCACATCCCTCATTGGGGATGTACCCACAACCAAGGTACATGCCCTTGACGGGAATCGAACTCGAGACCTTTCAATCCGCAGGCCGATGCTCTATCCACTGAGCCAAACTGGTCCCGGCAGGCCATGTCTTTTTAATTATAGTCTTCTCAATGATTTTGATTGTATTCCCTGATGTTGAGCATTTTTTCATAAGTATTGGCCATTGTATGTCTTTGAAGAAATTTGTATATCTTTGGAAAAATATGTGTTCATTTCTTTTGCATATATTCTAGATACAAGTCTTCTTTTAGCTATGTAATTTAAAACAATTTTCCCCCCAATTCTTTTAAGTTTTTTTCCCCTGTAATGCTATTATTTCAAGCACAAAAATTTAAACTTTTGATGATACTGAATTTATCAACATTTTTTTGTCTGTGCTTTTGTGTCATATCAGAGAAACTGTTGACTGACCCAAGATCATGAAAGTGGACATATATGTTTATCTTCAGTAGCATACACAATTTTTCTCCTGTATTGCTCTTTCCCTTTATGTTATTTTTTTTTATCATGTTATGCTTTTTAAAATTGTGTGCCCTGTAGCAAAGATTAGTAATTTTTATTTGCTTGTCATTTAATCATGTAGGAAATAAAAAGTAGTTACTGGCTTTCATATTTCCCCACATATTTTCCTTTATTGGAATCTCTATTTCTTCATATGGCTTTCAGTTACTGTCTTGAATTCTTTTATTTTAATCTAAATGATTAGCATCTTTCCTAAGACAGATCCTGCTCTATCAGGTTTTGCTTATCTACAAATATCTTAATTACTCTCTAAAATTTGAAAACACTTTTGCTGGGTATAAAATTCAATGTCAACAGTTCTTTTCTTTTATATCCTTAAATATGCCATTCCACTGCCTTCCTGCTTCTATGGATTTTTATAATAAATCAGTTATTAATCTCATTAATGTCCTTTGTATATAATAAGTCACTTTCTGTTATTGCTTTCAAGATTCTCTCTTTGATTTTAGTTGAATTTAAAAGTTTTGTTGCAGTGTATAACAATATGGGTCTCTTTCTATTGATCATACTTGGAGTTCATTGAGGGCTTTAGGTTTTTAGGTGAATATCTCTTTTCAAAGTTGGGAAGTGTTTGGTCATTATTTTTTCAAATCTTATTTTTTGCTATGTTCTGTATCAACTTTTGGGACTCCTATAATGTGTATGTTGATTTGGCCCCATAGAATGTATTCATTTTTTATTATTCGTTCTTTCTTCTGCTCAGAATCAATAATTTCACATGTTATATCTCTACTTTACTGATTCTTTCTTCTGTCTACTTATATTTGTTGTTGAACCCTCTGGTGTATTGTTCACATTTTCTTATTTTATATTTTAACAACAACAATTTGATTCAATTTTTAAAATTATTTATTGTTTAAAGTATTACATACGTTTTCTTTTCCCCCCATTGACCTCTCCCAAGTAGCATAGTATTCTATTATGTAGATTTGCCACAGTTTTCTAATACACTCATCTACTGATGGGAATTTAGGCTGTTTCCAAATCTTAGCTATGGTAAATTTTGCTGCTATGAACATAGGGAGCATATATCCTTTCTGATTGGTGTTTCTAGTTTCTTGGGATATATTCCTAGAAGTGGGATTACTAGGTCAAATGGGAGTTCCATTTTTAATTTTTGAGGAAACTCCATACTGTTTTCCACAAAGGCTGCACCAGTCTGCATTCCCACTAACAGTGCATGAGGGTTCCTTTTCTCTGCATCCTCACTAGCACTTGTCATTTGTTGACTTGTTGATGATAGCCATTCTGACAGGTGTGACATGGTACCTCAATGTCATTTTGATTTTTATCTTTCAGATGATTAATGACTTTGACCATATTTTCATATGTCTCTTGGCATTCTGTATGTCCTCTTTTGAAAAGTGTCTGTTGAGTTCCTTTGCTCATTTTTTGATTGGATTATTATCTTCCTTTTGTTAAGTTGTATAAGTTCTCTATAAATTTTGTGGAGTTGAAGCATTTATCTGAAATAGCATTGGCAAATATGTTCTCCCACGCAGTGGGCTTTCTTTTTGTTTTGTTGATAGTTTCTTTTGCTGTGCAGAAGCTTTTTATTTTGACGTAGCCCCATTTGTTTATTTTCTCCTTAATTTCCAAGGTCCTATAGTTGTGTTGGTAAATATATTGTTATGATATATATCTGCTATTTTGCTGCATATGGATTCTTCTAAAATTTTTTTGGTTTCCCATCTTATATTCAAATCCTGTATCCATTTTGAATTTATTTTTGTGTATGGTGTAATTTGGTGATCTAGTTTCTTTTTTCTTTTCTTTTTTTTTCTTCTTCTTTTTTTTTTTTTTTTTGCATGTATCTGTCCAATTTTCCAAACACCATTTATTGAATGGACTGTCTTGACTCCATTGTATGCTCCTGCCTCCTTTGTCAAATATTAATTGAGCATAATGGCTTGGGTCTATTTCTGGATTCTTTGTTCTGTTGCATTGTTCTATATGTATGTTCTTGTGCTAGTACCACGCAGTTTTGAGAACCATGGCTTTGTATTATAGCTTGATATCTGGTATTGTGATCCCTCCAACTTTGTTTTCTTTCTCATGATTGCTGTGGCTATTCAGGGTCTTTTTATATTCCAGCTAAATTTTTGGAGAGTTTATTCTAGGTCTGTGAAATATGCCATTGGTATTTTAATGGGGATTGCATTGAATCCATAGATTGCTTTGGGATATGGACATTTTAATGATGTTGATTCTTCCAGTCCGTGAACACAGTATGTTCTTCCATTTCTTTATGTTTTCCTTTATCTCTTTTTTTCATATTCCTATAGTTTTTGAATACAGATCCTTTACCTCCTTGGTTAAAATTATTCTTAGGTATCTTAATTTTTTTTGTTGCAATTATAAATGGGAATTTCTTTCTACTTACACTTTCTGTGAGTTTATTATTGTTGTACAAAAGAGCCGTAGATTTCTGGGTGTTAATTTTGTATCCTGCTACATTGCCAAATTCATTTATTAACTCTAGTAGTTATTTTTACTGAGTTTTTAGCATTTTCTATGTACAATGTCATATGGGTGAATAATGATAATTTTACTTCTTATTTTCCAATTTTAATGCCTTTTATTTATTCTTCTTGTCTGATAGCTATGGCTAGCACTTTCAGTATTGTATCTAACAGGAGGGGTACTAGTGGGCATCCTTGTGTTTTTCTTGTTCGTAGGGGGAATTGTTTTAGTTTTAGCTATTGAGTATGATGTTGGCTGTAGATTTGTCATATAAGGCTTTTATTATGTTGAGGTATGATCACTCTATTCCCTCTTTGCTGAGAGTTTTTATCAGAAAAGTGTTGAATTTTGTCAAATGCTTTTTGTGCATCAGTTGATAAAATTTTGTTATTTTTGTCTCTCAATTTGTTTATGTGATGTATGATGTTTATTGATTTGGGGATATAGCACTATCTTTATATCCCAGAAAAAATCCTGCTTGGTCATGGTGTATGATCTTTCTAATGTAATGCTGGACCCGATTTGCTAGAATTTTATTGAGGATTTTAGTATCTATGTTCATCAAGGATATTGGCCTGTAGTTGTATTTCTTTGTGTTGTCTTTATCTGGTTTTGCAATTAAGATAATGCTGTCTTCATAGAAAGAGCTTGGAAGTGTGCCTTTCTCTTGAATTTTTTGGTGTAGTCTGAGGAAGATAGGTAGCACTCCCTTGTAAAGCCATCTGGACCAGGCTTTTGTTTGCTCAAAAATTTTTTTTAATAGTTTCATCAGTGGTTATCAGTTTATTCATGTTTTTTTATTCTTCTTGATTGAGTTTTGGAAGCTTGTATTTTTTAAGAATATGTCTATTTTGTCTAGGTTATCTATTTTATTGGAGCAGAATTGTTTGTAGTATTTTTTAAATAATCCTTTGTATTTCTGTGGGATCAGTTGTTATTTCACCTTTTTAATTTCTGATTTTGTTTACCTGGGTCCTCTCTCTTTGTTTCTTGGTGAGCCTGGCTAGAGGTTCATCAATCTTGTTTATCCTTTCAGAGAACCAGCTCTTGATTTTGTTGACCTTTTGTATTGTTTTTTTGTTTGTTTTGGTCTCCATGTTGTTTATTTCCTTTCTGGTTTTTATTATTTCTTTCTGCTTTCTCTGAGCTTCTCTTATTGTTCTCTTTCTAATTCTTTTAAGTTGCAAGGATAAATAATTTATTACTATTTTTTTTGGTTTTTTGAGGTAGGCCTGTACCTTCCCTCTCAGGACTGCTTTCTCTGTGTCCCATAGAATTTGGATTGTTGCATTTTAATTGTCATTTTTTTCCATGATGCTTTTAATTTCTTCTTTGATTTTCTTGGTAAGCCAGTCATTGTTTAATAGCTTGCTATTTAGCCTCAAAAGTGTTTCAATTTTTTTTTGTAGTTGATTTCTAATATTATACCTATGTGAACTGAGAAGATGCTTGATATAATTTCAGTCTTCTTGAATTTGAAGAGATTTTGCCTGTGTCCTAATATGTGGTCTGTCTTTGAAAATATTCCTTGTGAACTTGAGAAAAACATATATTCTATAGCTTTGGGGTATATTATTTTTTAAAAATATCTTTATTGTTGAAAATATTACATATGTCTTCCTTTTCCCCCATTGACCTCTGCCAATATATATATATATATATATTTAAAGATTACTGGAGCTCTGGTTGCATTACTCAGTTGGCTAAAGCATTGTTCAGTAAACTAAAAAGAATTTGGGTTTAATTTCATTCAGGGCACATACCAAGGTTGTGGGTTCCATCCTGGTTGGGGTGTGTACAGCAGGTCGGTCTCTCTCTCTCTCTCTTTCTCCCTCCCTCTCTCCCTCCCTCCCTCCCTCCCTCTCTCTCTTTCTTTATCCCTCTCTGCCCCTCCCTTCCTTCCCCTCTCTCAAAAAAAAATTTTTTTAAAATGTGTTCTTAGGTGAGGATTAAAAAAAAAAATTATTCTAGCTACTCTAGTGTGAATCTTTGAGATTAGGGAGCATGGCTAGGGTAGATTTCTAAAGCCTGTTGTTCACTTTAGAAATAATGATTGTATATTGTTTATATGGGCATATACTGTATTATTAGATATAAAATTCATTTAATACTTTGTGAAAATAATTAAAATTTCATAATTTATTTTTGAGAAAATTATTTTTGAAAAGATAACATTAGGTTTTAAATTATTTCAAAATGGGAGACAATTTAGAGCACTATCAGCATGAAAAGGCCAGCTTTAAAGAACTATAGGTGAAATTTCATGGCAGTCAAGAGAACTTAAAATGATCTCAATTTCAAACATTATAAAATTATTTTGGTATCCTTGTTTGCAATACTGTCTTTTCTTCTCTGAGTGCAGTTATGTGTGTGCAGTGAACATAGAGTAAATAATGAAATATCTGTCATTTTTTTCTAGTTAATATTTAAATAAATTAATTCATTTTTTGTTCATATAATTAAATTTTTATTGCATGATAATTTATTTTAATTTTAATAAATAAATTCCTACATAGAATTTCAAGTTTATTTGTTTCAAATCATTAACTTTAAAAATATATATATTTTATTGATTTTTACAGAGAGGAGGAGAGAGGGATAGAGAGCTAGAAACGTTGATGAGAGAGAGACATCGACCAACTGCCTCTTGCACACCGCCTACCAGGGATGTGCCCGCAACCAATATATTAATATATGCCCTTGACCGGAATCGAACCTGGGACCTTTCAGTCTGCAGACCGATGCTCTACCATTGAGCCAAACCGGTTTTGGCTCAAATCATTAACTTTTATACAAGAAAGCCAGGATATTTTTTCAGATTCTGAAAAAAGTGTCTGTGACTATAAAAGGGAATGCTTCTACTAAGTTTTTAAAAGTGAAAACAAACAAAAAAATCTAAGACACTAGTTATTTTCACTGTCATTTTGTAAACTAAGTAGCCAAGTGTACCAGACATTTTATTGCTTCTTATTTGACATTTATTATATTGGACTTTTATATGTGTTCTAATTTCAGACCTTTGAAAACAATTTAATGGAAGCAAGGAAAGAAATTGAAGTTTCACAGAGTAAATACAATGCTCTCTCATTACAGTTGACTAATAAACAGACTGAACTTATCCAGAAGGATATGGATATTACCCTGGTTAGGCAAGTACATTCAGTTTTTAATTTAACATTATATAATGTCATTAGTTATTCAGAATGGCAGCATTTCTGCTTATTTTTAATACCACAAAATTACAAAAATATGTCTTCTTTGGGTACATATGTTTGTGCATTGAAGTTGTCTGAAATTATATACACCAAACTGAGAATAGTTGTTTGGAGAGAATGAGTGGTTTCATAGGATTTGCAAAAGCATGCTCCAAGAGTAGCCTTGTTTCAGTTTTTAAATAAAGACAATACATTCATTTATCTTCTTTAAAAGTTTCTAACCATCCTATCTAATAAAAGAGTAATATGCAAATTGACCATCACTTGAAGACATAAGATGCTACCTCCATGTGATCAAAGATGCTGCCCCTATGTGGACACAAGATGGCCAATAGGGGAGGACAGTTGTGGGCAGTTAGGAGTGACCAGGCCAGCAGAGGAGGGCAGTTGGGGGGACCAGGGCTACAGGGGAGGGCAGTTTGGGGGACAAGGCCTGCAGGGAGGGCAGTTGAGGGGGACCAGGCCTGCAGGGGGAGGATAGTTGGGTGGGGGAGGGGGGGACCCAGGCCACAGGGGAGGGCAGTTGGTGGAGACCAGATTTGCAGAGGAGGGCAGGTGGGGGAGACCAGACCAGCAGAATAGGGCAGTTGGGGGAGGGGGAAGGAAACAGGCCTGCAGGGAAGAGCAGTTGTGGGGGGCAAGCCTGCAGGTCAGGGCAGTTGGGGTGGACCAGGCATGCAGGGAAGGGTAGTTGGGGTGGGGGGCTAGGCCTGCAGGGAAGGGCAGTTAGAGTGACCAGGCCAACAGGAGAGGGCGGTTAAGGGTGACCAGGCCAGCAGGGGAGGGCAGATGGGGGCAACCAGGCCTTCAGGGGAGGATAGTTAGGGGCAACCAGATTGGTAGGGGAGGGCAATTAGGGGCAATCGGGCAGGCAGGGGAGCAGTTAGCCAATGATCAGGCTGTCAGGGGAGTGGTTAGGGGGTGATCAGGCTTGAAGGCAGAAGTGGTTAGGGGCAATCAGGCGGAGGCAGGTGAGTGGTTGGGAGCCAGCAGTCCTGGATTGTGAGAGGGATGTCCAACAGGTGGTTGGACATCACTCAAGGAGTCCCAGATTGGAGAGGGTAAAGGCTGGGTTGAGGGACCTTTCCCCCCTGCCCCCCCATGTACTAATTTCATGCACCAGGCCTCTAGTATATAATACAATAATTATTGTTGTAATGAAAGATAATGATTAACCCATTTTTTTATTATATTCTAAATAGTTTTAGTTTGTGAAATATTAATTATGTATCAAAATAGTTAATTTTATAATACTAACTATAAAGTGGTATTACCTGAAAAACTTGTTTTTAAGCATTTTGAAAGATTTTAAACTACCTATTAATTTAATTCATAATTAGTTTTATCAAAAAATAGTGTTAGCGTAAAGTATAAACTTATATATACACATATATCCATATGTCTTGTATTTGTACATTTTTACTTAATTACAATAAAATCATACAAAGTTTATAATTTCTCTGGTGCTACCAGTATATATAGTATGTATATAATACACTTATTATATACATATATTATTATAATTAACATATAATCATATGTAATTACTATACAAACATATTATATATCTCTCTCTATATAAAAGACTAATCTAAAAGTGTTACCCCTGGGAGTTCAACCAGGAGACCAGGAGTTCTATAACTTGTTATGATGTGCCCTGACCAACAGGGGGAGGTGTAGAAAAAAGGAAGGCCCTGGCCAGCAGCCAGAAGGACCCAATGGGCACTGATTGCTAGCAAGGCCTAGGGACTCTACCCATGTATGAATTTCATGCACTGGGCTTCTTGTTTATATATAATTAGAATATTGCAAGATTTATAAATATGAGGGCAGGATTTTTTCTTGGGTAATAGTTAATGTATATAAATTAATCTGTTATACAAGGAAAAATACATTTTGTCACATTTTTAATCTTCATAGGAAAAGTATAGACTTTATAGATGATACTTTGGTTTACTTATTCACTCATGGTGTAATTATTTTTTAAGTCATAGAAAATTAAAAATAAATGGTAGAAACATTGTTTAATAAGTGTGTTTAGTACACTTGGTAGATACAAGTTAGTGTATAAAATTCAATTGTACTTGTCTTGCTATAAAAAATGTTAGGAAATGGATTTTAAAATAATGTAATTTACAATATGACTAAAATTATGAAAAATGTAATGAAAAATATATATTACTTTTATACAGAGAACTATTAAACATTGAAAGAAATAAAATAATATGTGAAAGTGTTGTACAAAGTTCATGGTTTGGAAGACTCAATATGTTAAAGATATCAATTCTCTTCAAATATTGAGATTCACATTATCAACAACAGGAAATCATTACTATCTGTAGACCAGAAAGGGCAAGGAGACAAGCTTGTTATCAAGTCTCTCTGAGAAGCCCAGCTCTTGGACAGAGATTGACCAATAGGAGAATCCTTAGCAGTGGTTTTCAACCTTTCTAATGCCACGACCCTTTAATACAGTTCCTCATGTTGTGGTGACCCCCAACCATAAAATTATTTTCATTGCTATTTCATAACTGTAATTTTGCTACTGTTAATGAATTGTAATGTAAATATATGTGTTTTCTGATGGTCTTAGGTGACCCTGCTAGCGGTTCTCAACCTGTCACAACTTATTATTTAGTGTATAAACTTTGGAGTAAACTTGCTTATTTTTTGTTCTTATTTCATCACAACATCAAATTTATAAATAAACCTAAGGAAAATTGACATCTTTATGTCAGTCTTCATGTCTTATAGTATGATATGCCATTCCATTTGTTTCAGTACCTTGGTATTCTTACAAAATGTTTTATGTTGTTTATAATATGGATTTTGACATTTCATGTTAAAGTCTATTCCTAGCAATTTTATGTTTTTTGTTACTATTTTAAATGGAGTTTTTCTTTCCCATATAGTTCCCAACTGATTTTCCTTTTATTTATTGTTTTTGCTCTACATGTTTTGATGTGCTATGATTTGGTGGGTAAAGTATTCAGTTTTTTTGTTTTGTTTTTGTTTTTACTTATTGTAAATTGTACTTTTTAATTATTTTCTGTGTAAATTTTTGCCTTGAGTTTTAATTCCTCTGAAATTAATATTTCCTTCTTTCTCTCCTCCATTCCTTTCCTTCCCCTCCCTCGTTTCCTTCCTTCATTTCTACTTTTATTTTTTTTCTTTGTTAATTCTTACCCAAGGTTATTTATTTTTTTTTCATTGATTTTTACAGAGAGTAGAGGGAGGGAGGGAGAGACAGAGAGAGACATTGATGTGAGAGAGACATGAACTGGGGACCGAACCTGCAACCCAGGTACATGCACTTGACTAAGAATCAAACCCAAGACCCTTCTATGCCCCAGCTAAGAACACCAGCCAGGGCACTATTCTTTATTTTTGTTTGCATTTATATGATAACAAATAATTATTTTAGTATAATGATATATGTGAATTATAAAAAATTACTAGAGTATAGAAAAGTACAAAAAAGATAGAGGGAAAAATTACACTAGAGAAATAATAGCCATTAAAATTTTGTGAGAATCTCTATAGATTCTTCTTAATCCGTATTTATACATTGAAGATTATGTAGACAGAAATATGCTTTCTCCGACATTGACTTAGCCATGAGACTTATTTTGGCCTGTGGAATGAAAGTGAAAGTGACATGTACCACATCCAGGTAAATGTCTAAGACTCATTACTTTGATTTGCCTTTGCTTTTCACTCTTTGTCATTAGAGTGGCTTATTCCTAATATAATTTGTTGCTCCAATTTGAGTCTTAGAATAGAGAAAATGTAATGTGAGCAAACAGTAAGACTTTGTTTTTGTCACCATGAAGATTTTTTAAGCTGGGGAATAACCTAGAGAAACTGTCTGTAACTCTGTCAGTCTTTGTTATTAAACTTGATCTCTAAAGGGATGCCTTAAATAGCATTATTGTAAGCAGATCATTGATTTCTCTTTCACAGTATAATACTTGTTAACAGAACTTAAAATTCTTCTTGAGATGGGCAGAAGCATTGTTCATTCTCAGCATCCTCTCAGCTCAACCCACAAATTCTCAAGTTTGAACCTACCAATTAACTTTATTTTCCATAGCATTGATTTTCCTTATAAGTGCCTTTGTTATGAATTTTAATGCTATTATGGCATCTTTCTTTTTAACAGTTCTTCATGTTATCCTTTTTCTTTTATCCATTCAACAGCTGTTTTATCCAATATATTCCAGAAAACAGAGCTTGAGAGAAGGATTACACACTGATTACTTACTTGGGAGATTCAATTCCAAGGCAAAGTGAGTGAGGGAAGAAGAATCAGAGGCAAGGAAGCATAAAAAATAATTCAAGGAAATGCGTTATTGTGCTGGTACTTCATGATGAGCCATGAAGAAAGCATGTGCACTAAATTAGCCAACCAGGTTGTTTTTGGAATTGCTGAAGAGAAATCATGCCCTATAGCAATCAATCAGATAGAAAAAAGAAAAAAAATCTGTCTGGTTTTCTCTTGTGTTTGTCTTCCATTGGTCTAAGTGTATTGCTTATATGGGTGTGTTTTAGCATTTTATCATAATCTGGAAGTGGTATGAATGTGCTAGACTGGTTGATCTTGAGTAATGGAGCCACATGAACAATATGGATTTCATAGGCTGAAGTGGTAGTTAATAAGCTGAGGTAGAGCCAAGGACTGAATCTAGGAGGCAGTTGAGGCTGATTCTGAAAAGTTACATAAGATGTGCCTAAATTCAACAACAAATATTTAGTAATATAATGGAATTGTTCTAGGTGCTCTATTTATAGCAGTGAATAAAAATGTCCCTGCTTTCACAGAGATTTTATTAAGATAATTTTCACATCTTGGTTTTCTATTAATAATTCGGAGAGCTGCGATTTTTTTTTTTGTTCATACTTTTTCTAGACCTTTTCTCTAATTCCTTCAGTAACTCC